CAACACATTTATTAATGAGATGTGCACATTAAGCAGCCAATAAAGGTTATTATTAAGGCCATGTAAAAATATAAGAAACCATTTGGTGAGGAAAAATAGCAAACTACAATACGATTTTAACATCATTCATTTATTGAACATGTATCGAGTACCTATTTTGTGATAGGCCTTAGAGATGTAAGAATTATTAAGTCAGTCCCTTCTTTAAAGGAGCTCAGAGTCTAGCAGAAGAGAGAGCCATGTAAACAGATTGTAAACAGATATGTATGTGGACAAAGACCAATAAGAAGTATAGAAATATGTAAGTAGTATTGGGGTAGGAGTGTGGGTGAACTTTGTCTTTTAAAAAATCCATTAGGGAGTGAACCCAGGCACAGGATCTCAGAGGAGAGAGCAGAATCAAATTCCTCTGACAAAGGCTACATACAGCTCCAGGTAAGCTCTTCCCCACTCCACTCCTGAATCTTCAGGCCACCAAAACAACCCCAGAAAGGATCAGTGGAGTGCCCAATCCCCAGACTGTGGTTCAGAGAAGTCAAAAAGGCCTTGACAAGGACAAGAAGAAAAGAGATGGCACAGCAGCCATGCAGACCTTCTAGAGCAAAATAAATGAATATGTTTTGAGTGACTGTGATAATACAATAAAACAACTGGAGGAAATATGTATAATGGTACCCTGATGAGTATCCCCAGCACCTCATTAACTGGCCACAAGGCTTACCTCCTCAGTTATGTGCCCTAGGATTCCCCAGGAGATCCGCTCTTTCCACCGTCACCACCTCCATGTTGTTGGTCATTCTGCTGTCATCTATCAAGGATATTCTTCACTCTTTTAATTCAAATCTTGTACCTTTTTTAAAGCTAAGGATTCACATTCTTCAAGAGCTCTTTCTTAGTTAACTCTGTTCTATTCTATTATAAATACTTGAAAGTCAGTTTTACTAGATATAAAATTCTTGGCTCACATTTTCCCTACTTTTAAGAAGTTCCAGAGAAAGAAGAGTCTGTGACACATTAGCATCCACCTGTCATTGGTTAATTTCATAGGTTCTGGAGTCAGATTTGGATTAGATCTGCACCCCTTAGTAGCCATTAACCTTTGGAAAGTGTTTAATTTCGGTAAATCTTGTCTCCTAATCTATCCCATAGAGATAATACAACTATCTAATAGGGTTTGGTGAGGATGAAACAGATTGATACATGTAAATTGGCTTGTCACAGTGCCTGGGACATAGAAAGTGCTCAATACATGTAATGGCGACCACTTCACTTCCTTGAAATTATTCTTGATCTGTTTCAGGGAAATATGAATTGATTCAACCAATAACGTATGTCCCCTGTAGCAGGTATTTAACAGATGACTTCTGTAGGGTTCTAATTTAAGAACATGGTAAAGAAAAACAATATTTCATTACTAATGCATTTCCAAATGGAGGATGACAGACTGGTAAGGAGTTATGCTAACTGGAAACATTTCTTATTTACAAAAAGTAGACCAAATTATTCATTTCTTTTTCACTATTCATGTGAAATTGTAAACTAGTTCATTTTGGCTCAACTTTATATCACATGCCCATCCATGTTAAAGAAGTTAGGTTGACCTCCCTATTGTAGTAAATTTCCTGCTGTATTTAAGTCAGAGGCCTATGAATCCAGCCTGAAGATCAGGAGGCCTAAATATCACTGTTGTTTGTGACTAGTGGGGATGTTGTTATACAACTGAGAAAAAAGAAAAAAAGGCAAAAAAATACTATGTTCTCAAATATTTGGTGGTTTTCAAGGAAACAAACAAAATGTCTGAGTTTAGAAGGCGAATGGAGGTGTGATAATATGAAATAGAGACATAACTCTTATCATTAAAACACTTTGAAGATCCTTTAAATACATGATAGAAATAAAGACCCTCCTCCTCATCCTCCACCCCCCAAAGAGGAAAACCTGATTCAGTCTAGTTTTGCTTTTAAATTGGTTCCTCAAGCTAGTTAACGATAGCATTGGAAACATGGGGATTTCCGTCAATGAGCAGTATGACTGTGTTCCGTTAGCATCTGATGTGTTGTCATTTATTTGGTACAGTTGAATAATTGTCTTGGTTTCTGAAGGGAGTTTAAAAACTATTCACGCTAACTAATGCTTGAAGATCACCCTAATAATTACTTAACTGAAACAGGCTCCTTCACACCAGGGGTCTTATTCAAGCTCAGTAAGAAATTAAGATTAATTGGATTAGATATTGCATTCACAAAGCAAAGATCGTTAATTAGAAGGAGGAGAGAGAGGTAGTGCAAAGGGTTCCTAGACCCAATTCCAACGTATGTGGAGGCTTCCCCACACCAACGAGCAGTTCTCCGACAGACACCAGCAGAGCGTTGGAGAATTCAACTCAATTCCGACACTATCTACCCAGAGAGAGAACCAGATTCCACAGGTAAAGGGCTTAGTCCTATAAGAACGCCCTCCACTTCAGATGCCAGTCGCAAGCCCGGGTTGTTACTGGCGTTTCTGACTGACTGGCTACAAACTGGAGATGCCAACGACCCCTCCCCGCCCAACTCAGGATGCCAACCACAAGCCCAGGCTGTTGCCTGCACTTCTGGCTGACTGGCTGTAAATCAGAGGTTCCCATGACACTCCTCCTCGGGTTGGATTACTTTGCTAGAAAGGCTCACAAAACTCAAGAAAACCTCTTTACTCCCTAGATTACCAATTTACTGCAAAGGGTATGAATCAACAGCCGGTTGAAGGGCTACAAGGGTGAGGTCATGGATAAAGGAGCTTCTGTCTTCTTGGAGTCTGGAACAGTGGCACGAGGGAGCGTTCTGGTCCCCCAATGCAGAAGCTCTCTGACAAAAAGACCAAAAGCTGTCCTTTGGGGTTTTTATGAAGCTTCATGACACAGTCATGATTGACTAACTCATTGGCCATTGGCAATTGATTCAACCTCAAGCTCCCCTCCACTTCCCCGAAATCAAGGGGTGGGGCTGAAAATTCCAATCCTCTAATCACACGCTAGTTCTCCTGGCAACTACTCCCCACTCTTGGGCGGAGTCCAAAAGTCACCTAACAAGATACCCATTTCATCTTTATGGCCCTGAAGCGTTTTCAGGAACTGAGGACAAGAGACCAAATATTATAACAGAAGATGCTCCCACTGCTATTATCTTTCAGGAAATTCCAAGGGTTTTGGGAGCTGTGAGCCAGGAACTGTGGACCGAAGACCAAATATATCTGAGAAATATATTTTGGTCATCTGAATGACCAAATACGTGTATTTCGTATAAATCACAATATCACAAGTAGTGTTGTAGAAAGCAGTGTAAGCACTGTAAAACAAGGGGCTGAGGTAAGATATCGTACAAACCAATGAAGGTGCTAACATTGTACCTCCAGGTTCAGATTACCCACAATGCCGAGGGCAAAATATTCACACGGTAATTCTCTAAAACTAGAACTTTATTTCTGGACAGGTCCTTAATGTATCTTTTTAGTCCAAGCCCTCATTTTACAGATGAGCAAGCTAAAGCCCAGAAATTAGAAATGTCTAATTTAACCTATGACAAAAGCTCATGTTTTCACTTTGATGAACACCTTTCTATTGCTGTACCTTTCATATGAAGCAGAGCACAAGAGGGCAGTAAAGCATGGGGATTAAGCGGGTAGGCCCTGGTGTCAGACTGCCTGCATTCAAATCCTGGCTGTGCCACCCACAAGCTGTTTGACCTTGGACAAATTACCCACCCTCTCTGAGCCTTAGTAGCTCCCTCTGAAAAACCGTAAAATCATAATACTCACTTCATAGGGTTGTGTGGATTGAAAGTGATAACATAGGAAAGGCCCATGGTACACGAGTAAGTACACTTACTAAAATTATTTCCCCAAAGGCAAAACATTAAAGACCAATTTGAAGAATTCATATCCAAACAAGGAAAAAACCCACTGTGTGCAGATCATAAGTTAAAGTAAAAAGGGCGTTAGCAGGCTTCATCAATTTCCTTCCTTTACTTTTTCTCCTAAAACGTCAGTCACCCTTCCTCTTATCTGTGCTAGTAGGCACCAAGGAGAAATCCAGACAAAACGTTTTTATTCATTGATCATAAGGGTACTTAGTCTGTTTAATCTCTAGTCTCCATAGTGCTGCTGACACTCTATCAGTGTTAGAAAATTACAAGGGTATTGCCTTGACAGTGCTGATCTGCCAGAATAATTGGCAGCCAGGCAATGGAAACGCCGAAACATTCCTCCGAAGTGTTTACCCAGCACAAGGCTTTGCATTCCCACCGCCGTTCCTGCTCACCTGTCACAGCCCGGTTTGAAAACACAAGCGTCCTTGTACGCTTTTCAAAGGATCCTTTGGTAAACAAGGGATATTTTTTTCTACATTGAATTCAGGCTGCCTTGAATTCTGTGCTGTTTGATTTAGTTTGTGTAGCAGTAGAAGCCGAATAGAGAAAGGCCAGACTTCTTCCCCAAGACCCACGTGTATCATTCCATCCTGCTCTTGTTCCTGAGGGTTTGGATCCTGCCTTCCCCTGGCTCAGGGGTGCGCAGTGTTCTCCTGATCTGGAGGAATAAATCCCCCTCCCTCATCGTTTTCCCAGAAGCATTAGCATTTGGGGATGGGCCCTCCCTGCTGTTTGGAGAAGTTGGGGTGGGGGATGAGAAGGCCGTTTGTGAAGAGGAAGCTTTGCACGCAGGGGTTTGCCAGGAAGCCCTGTGGGTTCTGCAGTAGTGGGGATGCAGGCCCCTTCCCCTGCTGAGCTCCTTCATCTGGCTAAGACTGGACCACGTCTCTCCCATGAGGTGGTCTTCTCTCCAGCCCTGGGTTGATCTGCTGTTTCCCACCAACTCTCACCCCACCCCTCCCCCATAAAGCTTTCTGAATGCCCAGGACTTCCAAAAGCCAATCGCAGAAGCCACAGAGGAGGAAGGGACACTAGTGGGCCGGCCACCTTCCCATCCAACGAGGAGAAAAGTACTTTTAAAGTGGTGAGAACGCCCACCTTAGTTCTCCACCAATCCCCTCTTGCTCTTCTAACTTCGCCGCGCGGTCGGCCCCAGCGTTCAACTCCAACCTTCTCCAGCTCAGAGCCGGGGTGGGGGCCGGCGGCAGACACCGGGGACCCGCTCCTTGCCGGGTCGGGCAGAAACTCGAAAGGAGGAGGAGAGGGGCGAAGCGGCCCAGGAAGGTGGCGACGCCGCGACGCGGGAAGAAGGGCCCCAGGGCCCGGAGGTCCTGGAGCTGTGCACGCTGGGGGCGGGCCCGAGAACCCTGCGGCCGGCGCGCCCCCGCCCGCCTGCCCCGCCCCGCCTCGCCTCGCGGAGGCCACCGCCCGCCCGCCCGCCGCTTCGCCGGCCGCGGCGCACGCGTGTGCGGGCGGGGCAGCGCGGAGCATCCCCGGTGCCTGCCCTGGCCGCCTAACGCCCGTGCCCGCTCCCCCGGCCCGGACGGCCCGGCACCATGCGGAGGGTGAGTGCGCCGTCGCCCCCCGGGGCGCGAGGGGCAGGTGGCGAGGTGCTGGCGAGCGGGAGAGCCCGTCCCTCCGCCCCGCTCCAGGCGGCCGCCGCTGGCGGAGAGCCTCGCGGGGCAGCCGGGCGGGAAGGGCGCAGGGCGAGGCGGGCTCTTGCGGGGCCGCGGCCGTAGCCTGGGCGCGGGGAGGGCGCCCCTCGGACGATGGCGGGCGAGGGGCCTTGGGGGTCTCTCCCCGCAGAGGGCACTGGCCCCGCGCGCCCTGCGGCGGCACCGACACGTCGGGGCTCTCCCTGCGCCTCCCGGGGCCGGGGGAGGGGGTCTTCCCAGCGTCCCCGTCTCCGGCTTGGGGAGCCCCTCCGCGGCGCCCTGCACGCCCGCTTGGCTCGTTCCCCGCTGCGTTCGGCTGCCGCGCGCCGCGCTCCTTCCTGGAGCCTGATCCTTGGCCGCCGGGCGTCGGTTGGGCTCCCTCGGCGCGCACCCTAGGGAGGGCGTGCCCCAGGCCCAGGCTATAAGGGTGTGTGTTTCGGGGAGGCGGTCCCCACCCCTCGCCTCCAGACGTGCCCTCGCTCCTGGAGTTCGGAAGGCGCGAGGGAGTGTGAACTGGAGCTGCTCCGTCGGCCCGAGGAGCGGAGTCCCCGAGGCGGGCTCCCAGCACGTGCGCCCGGGGCGCCCGCGGCGGGGCTGCTTCCCAAACAGCGGGTGTGAGGGGCCCGTGGCCCAGCCTCCTCTCCAGCCAGAGCTCGCAGGAAAACTGCGGTCTACACACACACCTGCAGGGTTTATTCCACCTCAGGAAACAGCCTCGCAGGTTGGTGCTGCTTATTGTCAGCCCCGGAGAGCACGCCCGCGGGCCCTGCGCAGTTTCATCTTACCTGTCTGGGGGCGCTGATTGACTCGAAAGTGTTGGTGATCTCGTAAGTTCCCAGTCCCAATGTGCCGTCTGGATTTTAACCCTGGGGATGGAGGCCGCTTTAATCAAATGCACTTACAGAGTAGAAGGGTGGGAGAGCAAACTTAAGGAAGTCCACGTAGGTACCCTTGACGTTTTCCCAGACCTCCTAAGGCCAACGCTGATCACAGTTTAGGCTCCAAGGAAAGGGTGATGGGTGTTTTCTGAAGAGACAAGGCTGAGAAGGAATGACAAAAACAGAAGACGATTCTTTCTCACTAGAGCCTGTGAGTTTCTCTGGGTTGCAGTTTGGGATGCCTTGTTCCTAAGGTATGTACCTGCCTATCGCTTTGGTCCCCTGATGGTCCTTTCGAAGATTTCTTCCTCTCAGCTGCTAGGTTGCTTCAAAGGGAACTCTGGCCTGTCCTTTTGCAGATGGCGCCAGACTTGGGTCTTCTGTGTTTGTTGGGGGGTTGGGGGGATTGGGGGGATTGGGGGTGGTATTCGGAGGCAATGGAGAGCAAGTGGAATTGGCCCCAGCTGCCTCTGGAAAGTCTGTTAGTGAGCAGGCATGGAAATTTACCTGACTTCCCTGTTGGAGTTGGTCCAAACCTGCTCAGGTGTTTCTGGGGCGAACAGGATTCCAGCCAGGCTGGCCAGCTAGTTTGACCTGCCGGGCACTGGTGGAGCAGAAATGAAAACTGGCGGGGTTACTTGTTTGAACTCCAAATTCAGGGGTCAGCAACCTCCTTTTACGCTCAGTGCTCCCGGGGTGACTAAGGCAAGCAGCTGGCGGGAGATCTGTAGGTCTTAGTAAGGTGTGTTAGAGGGAGAATCAAGATTTAGAGACGGAGGGCATTAAAGATGGAGAGCATCTTAAAATGTGATTTGCATACTACCTGCTTTAGGATGAAGGAGATGGATGCTTGCTAGACATGCAGCTTCCTGAGCTCTCCTTCAGACCTGCTTATGTGAATCTCTGGGACTGGAGCTCAGCAAGTTGCATTTTAAACCTCCAGCACCATCACCATAAGGCCTATGTGTTAAGCCCCTACCCTGTGTGGGCACCGTTCTAAGCCCCCGGAGTACAGTGGTGAGATGACAGCCAAGAGCCTTGTTCTTTTAGAGGCCACATTCTAGTTGAGAAATGAGACAGTAAAGAACTAAACATACCAATAATTTTGGATATTGATGAGTGCTATGAAGAAAATAAAGCAGGATAATGAAATGGGGAGCAAATCGGGGGATGAAGCCATTTTGCGTGTCAGGGAAGACATTTCTGAGGAATTGACATCTGGACTGTGAGTCACGTGATGAAAGGAAGCCAGCTCTGTGAAGGTGCGGGTAACGGTGTCCCAGACTGAGGGACATCAGATGAAAGGCTCTGAGGCAGGAACGGGCTTGGCCTGTGTGAGAAACAGAAAGACGACCGTGAGCGGAAGCAGAGAGGAGCATGTCCGGGGCGGGGAGAGTGGAATGAAGTGAGGTTGGACACCAAGGTGGGGCTCAAGTTCTCTAGGGCCTCGTTGGCCATGGTAAGAAATTTGGATTTTAGCCCAAATGCAGAGGGATGTTATTTAGATAATTTTAAGCAGAGGATTAGAATGACATGCTCTGGTTTATTTTTTTGAAGATCAACTTGGCTGTCGTGTGTGGAATGGATGCTGGATTGGGGATGGAAGTGTAAAGGGAGGCCACCTTAGTGTGCAGGGGTGATGGAGAGAGGTGGAGAGACAGGCGGTGTATACTGGAGGTACGGTCAAGTGAACTTGCTGATGTGGGAGGAAGAGGGAGGTGGGAATCCTCTCATGTACACCTAAGGCGGCTAATCATTGTGTGTGTGTGTGTGAGAAAGAGCAACGGAGAAGAGCAGGTGGTGCGGCCTCAGTTGGAATGCCCCCCGTGATAATGGGAAAATCGCAAACACTTAGTGAGCGTTTACTGTGTACTTGGTACTGTGGGACATCAAGAGTCCTGTGAAATAGTAACCATTGTCACCATTTTGCAGACGTGATAAGAAAGGTTGAGTATGTTTCTCTAGACCACTCAGCAGGTGTTGGAGCTGGGCTTTGAACCTGGGTTTGCCTGGCTCTTGCCATTTCGCTCTGCTGCCTGCGCACCGCCCGCTCCTGCCCCAGACCATTTCTGGTTCGGGACAAGCAGCTGATTTAGCAGGTCGGCAGATGCGTGTGGCAACCTTTGGACTGGTGTGAGTCAGTAACTGCAGAGGGAGGGCAGACACACCTTAAGAAGGGACAGTGCTGACTTTCCTGTGGTCTTCCGGAGGGAAGGCGGGTGCAGAGGGATTGTAGAGAGGAGGAGCTCCGAAAATGCCCAGTCGCTGGGTTTCTCTGAGGAGGGGCTGAGATGGTGCGTTCCTAGTCTGCCCAGTGCTTTCAAAGAGGCTGACTCTTCCTTCACCTCTTCATGCAGCCAGTTCATGTTTTGTTCTTTATTTTCACCTCCACAATGAGCTCTTTGCTGTGCAGAGCCAGGAGTTTCAGGATTGATTACTTAAAAATTATCTGTATTAGAGTTAGAAATCAGTTGTGGAAAATAATGATAATGGTAGCTACTGTTTATTGATTGCATTCTCTGTGCCAGGCATCTCTTGTCTCCTGTGTGATCGTAACAACCTTTTAAGTTAAAATTAATAGCTGATGCATTTACATAATATAAAATTCAAAAGATAGGAAAACGTTTCCAGTGGAAATTACCCCTCGTGTTCTGGTGGCCAGCCAGCTGTTCCCTTTTCCCAGAAGTAATTAATGTTGAACCTGTTTCTCGTGTCCTTCCAGAAATAATTTATGCAGATACGACCAGTTATATATTCATCCTGTTTTCTCTTTTTTATACACAAATATAAATGGTAGCGTATAAGTAAAATGTTTTACACACAAATGTAAATGTAGTATATAAGGGCACTTTGCTTTTTTCCTTCGTATGAGATCAGTATTTGTAGATCTACCTGGTTTTTTTATGGCTGCATGTGGGATGCCTTTATATGGATATACGAGAGTTGGTTGTTTCTAGTCTTTTGCTGTTACCAGCAGTGCTGCAGTGAATAATCGTAATATACGTGGTTTGACAAGTGTGCAGGTATATCTGTATGAGAAATTTCTGGGCCAACCGATATGAGCATCTTTACCCTTGCTAGGTGAAGCAGCACAGTATGGGGGAAATATATATATATGTATACATCCGAGTATAGCGCAGGCTTAGAGCTGGACTGCTTGAGGTTGAAGCATGACTCCGCCATTTACAAGCTGTGCAAGTCACTTAACCTCTCTCTGCCTCAGTTGCCTGATTTGTAAAATAGGAATAATAACGGTACCTGCCTAATAGGATTGTTGTGAAGGTTGTGTCAGTTAGTTTGTGTTGCATAACAAATCACCCCAAAACTTAGTGGCTTAAAACAATAACTATTTTACTCAGCCCCAGAGTCTGGGTGGCTCTTCTTGTCTGGGTCGGCCCAGCTGAGCTCAGCTGGGTTCTCTCATGCGTCTCTGGTCACCTGGTGGCTCAGATGGTAGCGGGAGGGTCCAGGCTGGCCTCACTCACGTGTCTGGTAGTTGACAAGTAGATGGTGTCTGGGGACCTTGTTTGGGATGGCCCGTGATCTCTTATGCTCCAGTGCATTAGCTCAGGTCTCTTCATATGGTGGTCTCAGGGTTCCAGAGAGCAGCGAGAAACGACAAACCCCAAGCACAAGCATTTTTCAAATTTCTGCTTGCGTCGCATTCGCTCTTGTCCCATTGACCAAAGCAAGTGTCACCGCCAAGCTCGGAGTCTGTGTGAGAGGAGATGCCAAGGACAAGGATACAGGGAGGGGAATCATTGCTGCCATTTTTGCAGACAGTCTCCCACCAAAATTGAATGAGCTAATATTTGTAAAGTGACTAGTGTAGTGCCTGGCACATTGTGAGTGCTATATGGTTGTTAAATTAAAAAAAAGAGAAATTACCAAATTGCCCTGAGTCTGCACCTCCTCCAGCAGGGTGTGAGTGTGCCCGTCCCCTGACACTGTATCAAAGTGCTGTATCTGTGGAGAGACAGGTGA